GGTTCATCCTATAAGAAGGGCCTTCCTGCCCCACTGGCCAGCGTCGGGGCTCCTCTCCCTCTGGCCAATGCAGGGGGGGGGCCTCCCTAGAGTGCTCCCCTCCCACCCAGGACCTGGAGCTGCCCCAAAGCCGAACAGTGCAGCCGGCAGGATGCCTGGACCCTTTAAGCCACCCGACTGCTGCGCCGTATTTACCACAATAGGCGGGCACAGCGGGACACACAGCTGCCAGAGTCTGGCACTTTAAGCAACCCACACTCCCTGCATCACATTCACCCTAATACGCAGGCAAAGAAATGCCATAGCCTAGGGCGACAGCCCAGCAAATGGGACCCACAGCGCGGAGCACCCGTTAGTTGACTCTGTCGTATTCACAGTGATAGCTGGTCATGAGAAATCCTGCTGGCTGCCAGGAATGGGGCACAGAGCTGCGGATGCCCCGCCCCAACACCCACGTCTTTCCCTGCTGACCATCCCCAAGGGCCCCTTTAAATGACAACCCCTCCCTCCACCCCCACTCCCACACCAAGCCTGTATTCACCCCAATAGCACATCAAGCTCTCCGAAGCACCGGGTCACTGAGCTCCCTCCCCTGTCCGAGGAAGGCCCTGCCCCTCGAGGGAGGCAGCTGAGTGTGAGCCAGCGCCAGCCAGAGAAGGGACAAAGGCAGGGGTGACAGAGTGCCCTCTGTGCTGTCCCCAGGCACCTGGGGGCCGTTCCCTCCCGGCTCAGAAGCACAGGGTGCTTCCCGAGGGGCCATCCATGGCCAGCAGTCAGGGGCCTGCTGCCTCCAAGCTGGGGTGGTGCTTCTGCTCGTCCAGACACAGCAGGGCTTACCGCAGGTTTGGATGAAGGGAAGGCGACCCCAGGCTGGTCACAATGGGCAGCCTGACCAGCTGCCTGCAGAGTCGGGGTATCCCCCAAATCCCCTCCCTATGTTCCCACTTAAACTCCCTGAGAACGTGCATATTTAGAGGGAACACTGTTTCCACTTTCCCAGTCATCCTTGGCTTCATGTCTGCAGGGCCAGAGGGGAGCCCGGAACCAGTTGAGTCCACCTGCATTCACCACATAAAATATTAGGCGTCCCGTGGAGGTGAGACCCCGCCCCCCAAAGGCTCCTTTCCGAAATCAGAAATGAGGGGACCCTGGGAAAAGTCACACGCACTCTTGTCCTTGCCATCCTAGGGCGTGGAGGAAATGAGCTGGTCACGTCCCTCACCAGCCAATGCTGCTGAAACCAGGACATGGTGGGTGGGACTTGCGAGATGCGGGCAGCGGGTCTCAGTCACCCCACCTCCCTGGGATGAGACGGTCTGATGGCTTTCCATGTGTGCCTCACTTGTCCGTACAGCACCTACTGTGTGCCAGCCCCTGGGAAGAGAACCTGGAGCAGACTTCCAGCCCCCCGTGCAGGGGAACAGATGACATGCACCATGAACCTGGCTTGGCCCAGTCGCTTTCTCCGTAGGAAGCCATTCAATTAAACGAACGAGATCATTTCAGTATAAATACAGAGAAAACAGGCTGGATGTGGTGGCTTGTGCCTGTCATCCCAGCACTTTGGGAGGCCAAGGCAGGCAGATCACCTGAGGTCAGGAGTTTGAGACCAGCCTGGCCAACATGGCAAAACCCTGTCTCTACTAAAAATACAAAAATTAGCCGGGCATGGCGGCAGACGCCTGTAATCCCAGCTACTCTGGAGGGTGAGGCAGGAGGTTTGCTTGAACCCGGTGGGGCAGAGGTTGCAGCGAGTGGTGACTGCATCACTTAAGGAAACAAAACACAGATCTGAGACCTGCTTTGGAATGGGTATCTGACTTTGGAATGGGTATCGGCTGAAGAGCAGAGGCTCTCTCAGGGAGGCTGGGACCTGAATTAGATGGAACCCACCGTGTGCAGATCTGAAGAGGGGCTGAAAGCAGAAGCACCGCAGGCGCAAAGGCCCTGGGGTCAAAGCCAGGCCTGAGGCTGGACCCCTGTGAGCAAGGAGGAGAGAGGGAGGGGATGGGTGGGAAGGGGAGGGTGAGGAGAAGGGTGTCTAGGGCCTGTGGGGTCTGGAAAGGGGTCAGGACTTCCTGAGACCCATGGTGCCTCTCGAAGGGCTCCAAGTGGCCACATTACATGAAGTGGTTTACCGTCTCCAAGACCATGCTGGCTGCTGGCTGCGGAAAGGCCGGGGAGGCCACAAGGGGAAAGAGCCTGCTAGGTAGCCATGGAGAGCTCCGGGCAAGAGCTGGCAGGGCCAGGTGGGGAGTGGAGGCCAGTCCTGGAGGGAACAGTCCAGTGTGAGGTGGGCTGGGAGGCCGGGCAAAGCACGTGCTCTCGGCCCAGGGGCTCCGAGGTTTTCGACAAAGGCCCTCTGGGAATTCTCGATACCTCTAAGCCGGCCAAGAAGGCTCATGTCCCACGCCCTCAAGCCCTGGTTCTGAGGACACAGCTGGCGCCCACCCGGCTCTGTGTAGATGCCAGCACAAGGTAACCCCGCACCCTTGTGCACATGCTCCCAGAGGTCCTGGCTCAGGACAACTGTGATGCTGAAAGAACAGGGTGGTCCCTAGTCCAAGTCCTCTGTACTTGGCTGCAACTCTACCACCCCCCAGAGAAGCTGCACTACCCGCCCACATCTCCACAGAAGGTTACGCAGCCTCGGCCAAGGCCCAAAACCCCTTACAAATCTTCAGCAGCCCCGGAGCCCCATCCTCGGGTTGTTAGCTGTCTCCTCGAGCTGGGGGCTCGGTAAGTCATCAAGCAAAGCTGGCATCGGGAATAATACTCTTTCCTTTGTGCCCGTCACAAGCAGCATGAGGACACCCAGGGCGGCATGCCTGTCGCCGTGGGGAGCCAGTGGCACCCACCTGCACCACCCAACATCTACGCCCCAGCACACCGGCGCACTCCCTGGGCACCTGCCAACCCTGCCGGTGGTAGGCACTTCTCTCCACCTGGCCCATGGGGGCCTGCACCCATGGCTCCGTCCCGACAGCTCCCTTCCAGTCACAATGACCAGATCCTTCTGGCGCTGTGCACCCCTATGCCTCCGCCCCTCTACAACCCCCTGTCCAGGGGGTCAGAACTTCCAGCTCCCCAGGCCCCTCCAGGAGAACCCTGAGCTGAAGCCCCACCATTTCTCAGCTTTGGCCACACACTCAGATTCACTCGTCCCTTGAACACTAATTGGGAACAGGGGTTAGGATCTGGGGTAAGTTATCCACCTGCACGCCGTGCCTGTGTGTGCACACGTGTGCGGCTTAACCACAGAGTCAGCCGAGAGCCCCAGTCCCCAAAACACAGCTGTCAGAGACACACACAGCCTTCCACCCGCCAGCTCGTCACAGAATGTGTCTCCCTCCCCCAAGCATAACATGTCAGATTACTATCACAGCTCACAGCCAGGCGGGGATTTCAGGGGAGAAACTGATCCCAGACATTCTCAGCATGGTAAATACCATCCTGGGTGAGGGCGGGGCGGGGGTCTTGCATCCACATTCTGTGAAGGGCTGAAAGCAGTCCTTTGAAGAACTTGCCCATGCGTGGCCCAGTCTGGAGCCAGAAAGGAGCCTTCACTGGACACGCAGGATGCCTGCCCGGGGTTCAACATCTGCAGGACGGCCTCTCCGGAGCCAGGCCCAGGACTGAGGGCCGGAGGCTTCACACCCGGCCCATCTGCTGTGTCACCTTTCCTAAACACAGTCTGGCAAGACAGACACACGTGGTGCCTGCCTCCTGGGCACCCCAGGCCGGCCCCACACGCGTGCAGCAGACAATAGGATCGGCAGCTCTGGAGCCTGAGGCCTGGAGAGAGCGGCCAGACACCTGCCACCACCCGGGTTGCCCCAAACCTGCCTGATGCCTGCGAAGCCCCCTTCCACCTGGCAGGTTCAAGGAACGGCAGGGCCCTGTGTAACAAGGAGGCGGGATAGTCCTGAGGGTGGGGGCAGGGTTTCTGTTCTGTCCGGGATCTGGATCAGCCCTGGTGCAGGCAGACCCAAGAGCACCTAGCTAGGATCCCAAAGCCTGGCCCACTTCTCCAGGCTGTGGGAGGCTGTCTCAGGTGGGGTGGGACCCTTACCCACGTCTGCCTGTAAAAGGCACCTTGAAGAGACTGGGGTAGACACACAGAGGGGAGAAAGTGACAGAACCGCAGGAGACGAATCCACCCAGCTGCTTCAGCAGGGCAGACCCTTCCGCCCAGAGACAAGGGAGGGGCAGGGAAGCCCACCCTGCGACCCTTCCACACCCCCAGCAGCCACCCCAAACCCTAACTCCAGTTGGCTTCGGACAGGAGGCAGCCCAGCGGGTCTGAGTGGGGGGTCGGGGGCGGTGCCTGGGAAGACCAGGATGGGCCTGGGGGTAGGGTGCAGACTCTAGCCTCCTCCCTGCATGTCCCACCGTTCCGCCCCCCAACCCCCCAGGAATCTTCAAGTGCACAAGACCCTCTTGAGGACTCAGGCACCTCCACAATCCCAGAGGCTCTGGATCTTGAGGGGGTGCGTGCCCCAGAGATGGGGGCTGTGGGCAAGGGTCCTTCCCTCGCCTGTAACCCAGGCAGCCCCTGCCTCTGCGGACTCAGACACGGCCGCCCTGCCAGGCCCGCAGCTGGGACGCCAGACTCGGACCCCAGACCCCATCCAGACCATCCAGACCATCCAGAGAGCCCGCGGCGGCCGAGCTGCGGACACAGACCCCCCCGCTGGCCAGGGTCTGCTGCGGTCCCGGCTCCTTTAAGCCCCACCAAATGGTGAGCCGGGCCAGGCGCGCCGCCTCCCCACGCGCGGGCCGCAGCCGCCCCAACCCGCCCGGCGCCGACCCGCCCTGGCCCGGGGCGCCCCGGCCTCCCCCGCTCCCCAACTCCTCCGCGCCACTGGCCACTGCCAGGGTCCCCGCGCCGGACCCCGCGGCCCCCGGTTCGCTCTGGCCCTGCCGGGCGGCGCCCCCCGATCCTTCCCGGTCCCGCCGCCCCCCGCGCCCCCGCGTTTCCCGGGCCGCCGCGCTCCTACCGTGCGGCGGGCTGGGTGCTCCGGGCCGGCCGGGCGCGCGGGGGCTCCGCTGGCGGCGCGGGCCGGGCTGCAGGAAATGCCAGCAGATGGTCCCCCCGCGCGAGGCGGAGCGAGGGCGCGGCGGAGGGAGGAGGCCCGGGAGCCCGGGGGCGGGGGCAGGAGGCGCGGCGGCCGCAAAACCCGGGCCGAATCCAATCGCCGCGCGGAGCCGGCGCCCAGGCCCCCGCAACCGGCTGCGGCGTCTCCTCGCCCCCCAGCCCCCCGCGCGCGCTCCGGGGTTCACACTCACCCCTGCGGCCAGAGGTCGGGACGCTCCGCTGAAAACGGCCAGGAGGCTTGGCGGGTGGGGAGTGGTGAGGGGGTCAGCTTCGCGGGGTTCTCCAGTGTCGGGGTGCGAGCCCCCAGCCCAGCCTCGCCAGAGTGCGGGGGTCTCCTTTCCCTTTCCGAACCCGAGAAAAGGTCACTGTTTCTCCCCGCGCTTTTCTCCCCCGCTCAGGAGCCGTCAGAACACCCGAGGAACCGCCGACGTCCTAGCCCGCCGTCCCCGCCTCTTACGTGCTAAAAAAGACCCCTCAGCCACGCGCCAGGTTTCTAACTGGGGGTCTTTCTCAGGACTCTTTAGACGAGAAGCCACCTCATGCACACGTCTTCCTGCGTTTCCTCCTCGCCCTTTTCTACCCTCCAGAGATTTTTTAGAGCCCCTAGTTCTCTTGTATATAAAAGACACCCCAATTCCCCTCCACAGCCCCCCAGCATGGGCGCTGAGGAGTCCTCCCCTGGCCTTGGCTCCCTGCCTGTCGACCCTAAACTGGGTGTGAACCCAGGGTTGGCCCCGGGGCATTTCCAGCCGCAATGTCCAAGCCGGACGTGCCCTGCAGGGCCTTCCTACGCTATCGGTCCCCAAATGGCCAGAAAAACCGGGAGCTGGGCTCTGGCATCCCCAGATGTAGGTAGACCCCCAAGAGGGCGTGGAGCCTTTTCCAAGCAGAACTTTAAAAGGGGCAGGGCGGGCCCTCCGCAGAGAGCCCCGGGCTCCTCCCCACGCAGACCTGCCGCCGACCCGCGTTTCCACGGTTTCACTCTTTGCCAAGCTGCAGGTGCATTCGCGCAACGCTCAGCCTGGCTGTCGCGGGCTGAGATCTTCAGGCAGGGCTGCGGAGGGCCAGCCGCCCAGGAAGGCTCCTTCCAGCCCCTGAAGGGGGAGCGGCACAGCATGGGGGTGCTCTGCCCACAACAAGCCAGGCCCTTCCCCTCTCAGCCCAGGCCTCGCCCACCCCGTTAGACCAGGTGGTGGGTCTCCTCCCGGGCCTGTGTGCCGATCACAGAGGCGCTTATGGAGCCGGGGGGCTGCTCGCACTTGCTCTAAGCTTACCCCCAGGGCTAGCCTCGCCATTTCATAGTCACCTTTCCAGGCCTTGGGATGCAGAAGTGCTCGGTCAAGATGCTCAGGGCCATGGTGGGACCCTGCTCGGCGTGGCCTGTGGCAGGCAGCCTCTCCCTCTCCAGGAGAGGGTCTGTGCAGCCTGGAACCACAGACACCTGCCAGCTCTGCTCTTTGAAGGCTCCGCCCAGAGCTGGGGTGCTGCTGCCTGGTAAATTGCTGGTTGCCGGGGCCCATCCACAGGGAATTAGGGAAGAAAACAAAGCCGCTGTCCCCTAGGGCGGAGCTCTCAGGGGCCTAAGTAGGTTGCCAGTTGCTCGATGCTGGCTGTCTGGGGCCTGGGTTTCATGAAATGACACTGCTGAGAGCAGAGGTCAAAGAGTCACCTGACAGGGGATGGGAAGGGTCCACAGATGACAGCAGGGTGGGGCTGGAGTGGAGCGGGATGAGGGCTGAGCCTCCCACCGGGTGGAGTCGGACAGCCAGATGGCCACACGAGGAATGAAGAGCATGCCACCTGCCAGGCGCAGTGACAGGTGTCAGGTGTCTGCCCCACTTCCCAGCAGGCTCTGCACTTTTCCAGAAAGCCCCATTCCCAGCCTCTTGCCTGGTTTCGGAGAGGCAGTGAGCTGAAGAGGTGGCCCGGACAAGAGGTAGGTCGGAATCCTGCTGCTACCAGAAAGAAGTTCCGTCACTAGGCAGGGCTGTTCCTCCCCAGCCGCCACTGCCTCTCCTGTCAGATGGACACAGCATCTGTGTCTGGCGGCCAGCGCAGGAAGTGAGGGTGTGAGAGGTCTCAGAGATGGGCAGAGCCAGGTGCCAACTGCACACCCAGCAGGCCCCGCTGTCCAGGAGCTGCTGAGCCTTGAGCAAGTTCAAGCAACTGTCTGTGCCTCAGTTTCCTCCTCTGTAAATGGTGATGGTGACCAGAGCAGTTTCCCCAGTGCTGGCCGTTGGTGGGCACCGTGGACCAGGAGTGAACTATGGGAAGGAATGGCTTGCAGTGCCCAGCTAGTTAGTTTGGAATTTATGGTAATTCAGACAAATAGGTCTGTGATAAGTAAGAATTTTAAAAATGCTTTGCAAGCAGAGTGCAATTTAAAATCAGGGCAGTTCCAATCCAAGTCTCCAGAATGGCAGTTCTCCGTCAGGGGCGGTTTTGCCTCTAGTCTCCAGGTGGCATTGGGCACTGCCTGGAGACAGCTGTGGCCGTCGTCATTGGAGGTCGCTACCGGTCTGTAGTGGGTAGAGGTCGAGGATGCTGCTAAACACCTTGCTGTGTCCGGGACAGCCCCCTCAACAAAGACTGACCCGGCCCCAAATGCTGGTCATGCTGAGGTCAGGGATCCCTGGCCCAGAAACGAACACACGCTCACCTGTTGAAATCACTCCGTGGTTTCGAGTGGTTGGTCTATGGGGATTGCAGAAGCCCCCAAGGCCTCCTGCTGCTGGAACCCCTACCCCGCCCCAGGTTCTGCACACCTCATCTGCTCCTCCTGACACCGACTGAGGGGCGAATAACACAGCTGTCAGCACCTTTCTCGTGCCAGACACTTTTCTGAGGGCTTTAGACACTTGATGCATTTAATCCACCTCACAACCCTATGTGCAGGCACCGTTGTGATCGGCTCTGCTTTACAGATGGGGAAGCTGAGGCACAGCAGGGGAGGCAGTCACCAGCCCCTCCGGCTCCAGAGCTGTGCTCTGATCCACTGTGCTCTGCCTGGTTCATGACGAAGACCCACTGGCTCAGAGGAGACCCCCCAAAGCCCCTGCCCCTTCTGCTACATCTGGCTGCCTCCCTGGGAAGAGCCGGGGTGCCAGGACACGAAGGAAGAAGGCTGGGCCCAACCCAGAGGAGATGCTACCAGCCAGGGATGCCTTGCTCAGGGCTTTGGCCACCGAAGGGGCCGGCGGGGCTGGGTGTGGTCAGGGCTTCGGCCACCACAGGGACCAGTGGGGCCGGCGGGGCTGGGTGTGGCCCCCTAGGGAGAGCCCTGAAGCAGGTGTGGGCCTGCGAACCGTCACACCGTTGCCTCCTTTAGTCCTTTCCAAGCCTTCCGAGGCAGGAACAACTGCTTCTCTCCATACGACAGATGAGGAAACCGCGGCCCCAGTAGTAAGGGGCGCACCTGGACTTAGGTGGGTCTCCGACTCCTGGTGGGTACCCGCCCAGTTACCCTGGGCAGCAGGGGGGAGACCCAGGGGCGTGCCTGGGCTTCGCTGCCCTCCCTGCTGCCCCGAGGGCACATCCATCCCCAGGTGTGGCCTCTTGTGGGAGCCTTTGCTGCTAAGTTGTTTGCGTTCGTGTACAGGGGGATGGGATAACATCCCCCATAGGCGGTGGGGCGTAATGAAACTCACAGAGCCAGGTGGTCTCCAGGGCACAAAGCTAAGCATGAGAACAAGGCAGCATGTACTGACCGCTTGCCGTGCGCCTGGCGGGAGGTCCTATATGTGACCCAGTGGCATCATCCACACCGCCCGCAGGCCTGTGGTTATCCGCATCCCCAGCTTACAGACTCCCAAGTGAGAAGCCCAGGAGGTGAAGCCGCCAGCTCCAGGTTGGCCACTGGGGAGTGTCCCAGGCAGGACTGGAAGCTAAGCTGGTGCTCAGGTTCCTGGAGGCTGGCTGTCCCCCCACCCCATTCCCTCCTTGGGGCTGGACGTGGCTGCCACTTTCGGCCACCAGCCATGGGAGGAAGCCAAATCTTTCCTCTCCTGGATCCCACAGGGGTGCCAGGGCTGGGGGCCTGAGGAGGAGCAGGGAGGCACTGGGTCCCCCAATGCATTCCTCCTCCTCTTCCTAGGGAGATTCTGTGGTGGCATCTTCACGGGCTGAGTCACGAGGCCAGGAGTGGGGAGCGGGGTGGAGCAGGGGCTGTTTTCTGTTCTTCCGGTTTTTTCCTGGGCCAGCCTGCAGGCCTCCCTCTCCGCCTCTGGACCGCACTGCTTCCTGAGCAGGCCTGCTGCCTGCCAGGCTCCCTCAGGCTCTCTGACTCTGTTACTTGGTGTCTCTGTCTCTCTCCGATGCACACTTCCACCCCTGTCTTCCAGAAAGCCACATCCAAACCCGTGATTCAAGCATTGTAATACGATCGTAATGAAGACGTGGAGTTTCCCACCTCTCTTGGTGGCGGTGTTTGGACTTCTGCCTGAAAGGACAAGCAGGTGCTATTTATGGGGCCGAAACCTCCGCAGGACTCAGCGGGAGGCTGAGGTAGCTTCCCAGTGCCCACGCTGAGCGGCATTGGATACATGGGATCAGCTCATGCTCAGACGTCCCCACGTGTGCGGGGCCAGTCCTCAGAGGTGACTCTCAGGGCAGTGGGCTCTGCCTTGTGGTCCTGCCACGTGCAGCCAGCTCTGTGGCATCCTCCACCTCACCTGGCCAGGAGGCAGAGCAGGGCCCCGTGGGTGCTGCAGTGAGGTTGGTGATATACCCCAAAACCTCACGAGGTAAAGAAAGAAATGCCCAGAGGTCCCCAAAGCTGGCTGGTGTCCAGGCTGAGTGGGGGCAACTGCCCCTGGGAAACTGGTGGCTGGGGGCACTGCCTGGGGCTCCAGTGGGGCCTCTTCTCCGGGTCAAAGCCACGCCCAGCTCAGGAGCTCCTCCCTGTCACCCTTGGCCGTGGGCTGCATCTGCCACAGTTGTGGGCATCCACCGCCCCACGGCGGTGCTGGAGGCTGGGAGGGAGGCCCAGAGGGGTCAGCTCAGGGGGACCCA